CCAAAGTTCAAAATGCTCCATTCCACCTTGTGATGTCATAAAATGGTAGTTTTTTTTACCTTTGTTTAGTAGGAATTCGCAGTTCCAGGGCTGAAATTATTATCCCAGTGATTCTAGTGAAGATGTACAGAGTTTAAAAACACAGCGGAGGACTTCCTGGATTACTACATGACATCACAAGGTGTTCACAAGTAGTGTTTTCTGTTTGAGAGAAGAACTCCAAATATCTAAGGTTTGTATGATGAACACAAGTGCATGAAACTCCAGGTATGTTTTTGATGAGGAAACAACATTATAACAGACATCAAAAAATCTAATAATATGGGACCTTTAACTTCTTGGCAGCTCAGTTACCCAAAAAACGATGAAATATTTGAAATGAATTCTCTCCATGGAGACAGGAGGAGACACTACAATTAAAATGCCTGCAGCTGAATAAATACAAGATCTGTAAATTAAATGCCATAATGTGCAATATTCCCAGTAAAGATTTAACATCTCCATGAAAACAAGCAAGTGGCAGACCCTCCACCAGAAAAGTTGCATTGTGCACGATTAAATAAACGGGACAATGGATAAAAACACATTCTTTCCAAGCGCCAAAGGTAACACTATAAGAATGCTGGTCAATGAGGTCTGTTTTGAGGCAACACCTTAGTGGAAAGATCATTTTATTGAGCAATGCAAATACAGCGAGCCCACACATGGACTTCTCATCCAGCCTCTGCTTCCTGTTACCCCACACAATGAGCTCTTCCCCCCATTGTTGAGACCAGGCACATGCAATATTTCAGCTTTATTTTGGCAGGGGATGTGCCATTCATTTTTGGCCCTTATCACACGCAGACATCGTCCCCTCCATCCGGAAACACACCTTCCTCCAGCAGAAACCACTCGAGAGGCCAGTCACGTGTCAGCCTGCTACTCCTGACCTTATTATAAAGCACTTAAGATCAGCATGTGGATACTGTACAGTATAACTACTAATAATAATAAGCAGAGGTGGGTAGAGCAGCCAAAAATAGTACTCAAGTAAGAGGAGTAAGAGTACTGTTACTTTAAAATTAGACTTAGACACTTTAGTGTCTCCAGTACCGGACCATGGGTCGTTTGGTACCGGTCTGCGAAAGCGCAAACCCCCCTTCCAAATGCATCTCTAAACCAGACCTAAACCAGGACTAAACCGGGTCTAAGCCAGGACTAAACCAGACCTAAACCAGACCTAAACCAAAACTAAACCAGGACTAAGCTAAAACTAAACCAGGACTAATCAAGGTCTAAACCAGGACTAAAACAGGGCTAAACCAAAACTAAACCAGGGCTAATCCAGGTGTAAACCAGGACTAATCCAGGTATAAACCAGGACTAAACCAGAGCTAAACCAGGACTAAACTAAAACTAAACCAGGACTAATCCAGGTCTAAACCAGGACTAAACCAGAGCTAAACCAGGACTAAACTAAAACTAAACCAGGACTAATCCAGGTCTAAACCAAGACTAAAACAGGACTAAAACAGGACTAAACCAGGACTAAACCAGGTCTAAAACAAGTCTAAACCAGGTCTAAACCAGGTCTAAACCAGACTAAACCAGAATGAAAATAGGTCTAAACCAGGACTAAGCCAGAACTAAACCAGGACAAAACCAGAATGAAACCAGGTCTAAACCAGGATTAAACCAGAACTAAACCAGGACTAAACCAGGATTTAATCAGGATTAAACCAGAACAAAAGCCAGGACTAAACCATGCCTCGCCGCCACAGTCCCCGGTCCTCAAAACATTGTTGGACAAAAAACTGGTCCGTGGAGCTAAAAAGGTTGAGGACCACTGCTTATAGGGGGAAAAGTGACCAAAATCTTTACTCAATTAAGGCTACTTCAATAAATACATAACTCTAGTAAAATCTTTAAATCTCCAGTAGCATGCTTTTACTCAGGAGTAAAAATGTCACCTGCTCACCTCTGACAATAATTTATATCCCTACTGTTTACATTATTTGGCCATAACTTAAAAAGACGAGTATTTCACTTTGATTTAATGTAGTGCAGTGCCAAAAATCACATATCACAAGCCATTCAATCATCCATGTTACCTGGACATTTGTAATTGCTGTAACAGATATCGTGGCTACGCTCGGAATTCAAGGCCACCTCCATCTGAACTCCAATCCGCTTACTGGCATCGTTGGCTTATTGCTTGGGATGAAATAAACATATTGTAACATATTTTTAAACATTTGACACTGGATCGTCTCAAAGCCTCACAAAGCGTCCCCCGCGGATTTTCCTGTTAGCACTACTGTCTCCAGAGCCTTCCTTCCTCTGCCACTGTAAACTGATAATGGCCTTCATGCGGTATTTGGGAAAGTAGTTCACATACATACCAGATATTTCAGCATGGAACAAACCGGAAAATCCTGACACAGTCTTTCTGATGTATAGTGGATCTAATCGTGACAGAAAAAGACTCCAGAACAGAGATATTTTGCTTCAACCAACCACCTGCCTAAAAAATATGTATAAAGCTTTATCGAACTCTGTACCACGAAGAGGACACTGTACAAAATGTGACACAGCTTGTAGTAAAACAGGTTTGTGGGTGACTTTGTTCTAAAATTAAATCATGCAATTGGGGAAAAATGATCAAAATCAGCCCTACAAATTGGCCAAAAAATATCCACAGATTTTATTGGCCATTGGTTTCTTTGGATTCTAAATAATTGGCATCACTAATGAAAAAAGCCAAATCCTGGGCCAGAAAGGGCATCTGATGTAAAACCAGTATGCAAATCATGGCACTATGTAAGTCATAGTTTTGCAGGAACAAGAAATTAATAGTTAATCACAGTGAATCACTGATCACTCTTTATACCTCTGACAGTAAACTCATTTTTAAAGAGACAATATCATTAAAAAGCCTGAGCTGCAACAAATAAATGGCAGAACGAAGTGCCTGAAGTTACCTACAATATAAAAGGAGCGCCAGACTATATTGTTCCAGCTTTCATATATTGAAAGATAAGTTAATATTCATATTATCGTGAGAGGATTGACTCAGTACATCACAAATTCCAGTGGTTATAAGTTGAGTAGTTGTAGTTCTTGGGAATGATCTTTCCTGGAAACCCTAAAAGTGGACAATCTGCTGCTTGGACATGGATGTGGGAAATAGCTCAGTACTGGGTCAGCCATAAAGAACTGAAGCTGTCCCAAGGGTCAGATTAGAATATTGTATTAGAAACATACTTTCTCAGACATGGGATCGCTGTGCTTAGATACCACAGCAGCATGTAATCTTTTTCTCTGATGAAGTCCTTAAGTAAGGGTCTTGGGGGTCTAGAGTCCTGGGACCTGGACTCTGAACT